GCATGGCCTAGATGAGAGGCAGGCAAGGGGCTCTCAGGGACACTTCCCAGCAGGTGAGTTTCCTGAGCTGAATTTTGAATTTTAAGTCCTCGGCAAATAGGACTTAGCGAAGGGACTAGGGGGTGAAGAGAGAGTGACGAGCAATGATCCTGGAGGTGGGGGTCAGTCACACAGTGAGGGAATCCAGGCCGCTGCTAGTTCTACACAGATTTTTGTGTAATTTAGAAAAAGGCCTCCCTGCCCTCCAAAGTGCCTTAGAAGTCACCTGCATTCATTTCCTAGTGCTGCTGTAACGAATTACCACAAACTTGGTGGTTTAAAACAACAGAAATTTATTTTCTCACGGTTTGGAGACCAGAAGTCTGAAATCAGATTGATGGCAGGATTGGTTCCTTCTGGAGGGTCCAAGAAAGAACCCATTCTGTGTTTTCCTCCTATTTCTGGTGGTTGCCAGCAATCTTTGGCTTTCCATGTCTTGTAGACACATCACTGCAATCTCTGCCTCCATCTTTCCAGGAAGGAACACTTCACTATGTTTCTCTTCCCCTCTCTGTGTCTTTCTCTTTCTTATATGGACACTTGTCATTGGATTTAGGGCACACCCAGTTAATCAGGATGGTCTCATCTCGAGATTCTTTACTTCATTCCGTCTGCACAGACCCTTTTGTCAAACAAGGTCACATTCATAGGCACCAGAGGTTAGCTTTTTTAAGGATCAACCACAATTCAACCCACTACAACCCTCTTGGCAGATCAAGTGGGCCCTGGAACACCCTAATTGTTTTCCAAGCATGTTTTGAAAACACGGTAGGGCTGGGCTTACCCACACCTCCTACTTCTCAACAAGCCTAAGGAGATAAGTCATCAGAGAAAGCTGTTCTTGCAAGCATCTCCCTTAAAACAACAGAAATAGCAACAAACGATTTAGAAAATTGTCTACCAATCCAACTGGAAGGATCACAAGATCACGCTTCAAAAGTTACCATTCTTTTCTTGTCTAAGAAGGAGTTTTACTTTAAAAATAAAAGGAGAATCCCACTTTCAAGAACTTAGTATAAGAATTGACAAAAAAAGTCACCCTTGAGGAAGATACTTCAGTGATAGTCGTTTCTTCCTCCAGCTCCTCGACGGTGAGATGGACTCTTTGCAGGAAGCCTGGAGGTTCCCCCTCGGAGCACGGTGGAGTCTGAGGGCTCTACCCTCATCCCCGCACACAGCCTGTGCTCAGACTCCTTCTCCAGGGTAAACACCTGTCCCGCACTGGTGTTTGTTGGAGGGGCTGCATTAAACCTCATTGAGTGACCTTTGTTGCAAGCACCGTGCTACCCTCTTTACTCACTGTTTGAGTTGATCCACACCCTCCACACACCTGTTATTACACACAATGTGCAAGGTTTACTTTAGAAACCTTTACAGCATTGCTGCTTAATGTCACACAGCTAGCAAATGGCAAACCTTAGATGCAAAATAAGATCTAAGTCAGGAGCCCACCCAAAGGAGTTTCCAATGGCCAAACGGTGACAAAGTGAGCAAAAAAAAAAAAATCAATAACAGTAGTATTGGACTGTAACCCATAGAATAAAATCAGTATCCGTGAGTCCATACTGATATAAATAATCAATTAGTAAATAAATGGGGGAAGCAGGAGAGGTCTTCCTTACAGTAGAATTCCAGCTGCTAAATGTAGACAGAAAGGGGCAAATAGAGAATTGCCACTAGGTAAACACCACAGTAATAACCGTTGCAGTGGATCCATGGACGGGTGCTCAAATTAGTGGGCAGAAGTTTGACGATAAACAGGATTTGCATAGTCTGAAAGTATCTCCCCCAACATATTTATTAACCACAACCTTACAAGGCTCTCTGAATAGTGACTGTAGTGGGGAGTCCCAAGCAGACCCCACTTCACCGAGTGAGGGCAGTTAATACTGTCTAGCAGGGCCGGGAGTCTCGGCACACGACGCGCTCAGAAGGACACAACGTCATTTCTGCCAAAATCGTAAGATCCCAGGACTAACTCAAATTGAGGCAGATTCTACAAAATATCTGATCTTCAAAAGAGCAAAGAAAAGACTTGTTTTTTACAAAAAACAAGGAAAAACTGAGAGGTGGTTACAGATTGGAGATGCCTCAGGAGAAATAACTATATGCAACGTGGGGTCCTGAATAGGATCCTGGAAGAGAAAAGTCACTGGTAGAAAAACTGGTGAGGGCCGGCCCCGTGGCTTAGCGGTTAAGTGCTCGCGCTCCGCTGCTGGCGGCCCGGCTTCGGATCCCGGGCGAGCACCGACGCACCGCTTCTCCGGCCATGCTGAGGCCGCGTCCCACATACAGCAACTAGAATGGATGTGCAACTACGACATACAACTATCTACTG